GTCAGTTATATTTCTGAATAATCAGTTATTTGTTTAGTCTTTAAAATGTCAGAAAATGGTAAAAACTTCCTGGTATAATTTTTAAGACCAAGGTGACCTTTCTAAACCTCATTCTATCTGACCAAGTTTGATACAGTGCCACTTTCTCTAACAATCTAGGTGAAGGAATCTTGGCAAATTATGCAGAAGTATATAGATTATTGTATATTTATTCCCTTGTGAATGTGTATTTGAAGTGAAGATGTCTATGACAACAATTTCATATTACGTGATGGCACAAAGTTTTTATTGTCTGCTGGCAGCTTTTCTAATTAATGCAGTGTTTTCCCCACAGAATTAGATTCTACTTGTGATGTTACTCACTGGGGGGGGGGGGTGGGGCGGGGGGCTGGGCTAAGCTAGGCTTTATCATTATTATACTTTTTTAAAACACTAATACTCTTAGTGCCTCTGAGCTTGCTGCTGTCCTCCTCCTCTCCTCCTCTTCAGCTCTTTTCCTGACCCTCTCTAGGTGAAGCCCCAAAATATTCAAAACTAATTAATAAGATAACTAATGACATTGGTAAGACTGATCAGCTTTCCCATGTGTGGTTTTCATTATTCCCCTGGGTGGAGAGAGCAAATGTTCAGCGTCAGAGTTTAAGAATTATTGTTAACATTATCCACAGAGCAGTCTATATACATCCATGCTATAGTATAGCCTGCCAATCTCAACAACAGCTGTATTCCAACATTATTTTAGCCAGCCTTACTAGCTTGCTCATAACTTAGTAGAAAAGTTGTATCACAATTGACAGCTCTGTTTAAAAACAAGCACAGAGTGGGGGAGCTGTTCAGACACTGCCACAGACATTCAGTGTGTGAGTGAGAGAGAGAGAAATTGGGACACGGACCAGCTGAACGAATTAATGCACTCTGCGCAGATGAAATGGCGAAGGGAAATTCTTCTGTGGTTAATCGGTAGCAGATTGCATTGTTCTGTCATAAAAAAAAAGATGTACTTAGATGGCCACCAAGTTACCTGGGTGGCCCGCCCGAGTAAAGTCAGTGTCGGGGCGGAACACTGAATAATGTGCAGCCAATCTTTAGATGGACCTGTGCTACAGTTCATTGTTATGTATTTATTTATTTTTAAGCAAATTCTGAGTTGAGGTAAAACACGAAATAGGGCACAGCATGTTTGTGTAAATAAACCACTTCATGCATAAAGCAGTACAAAAAATAATTTTTGTTATGGCAACACCACTTGAGTGATTATGGATGGATCATTCTGTTTTGTACACCTCATGCTTTGTATATTTGCTGCATGGGCCACGTTTTCTTTAAAGCCTTTAGTCCAATGCATTGTGCAGCAGCCAGTGCATTCATAATTTACTATTGCACAGCACACGCATACATATTCATAATTTAGTGTGGGAATGTTCTTAATGCATGACTCAACACAGGCGGAAATGCACAGGCATGGGGAAAAGCGGTTTACGCTCCACTCACACACATTAAACATAAAACTGTTGGCATATTGACACAGTTTTATGTTTTCATAAACATTTTTCCGCCTGTAATTGTGGATGGATCATAATTTTCCACAAACACACTTGTACCTCTCATCTACACACAGGGTATGTGACATGCGAGTCAAAACCTTGTCATGTAGGCCTGAATAGGTGAACGAGACAGTCAGGACAGTTCATCAGCACAGTGCTGTCCACAATGGAGGAGGTATAGGAAAAGGCTTCAGGAAATGTAGGCCGAGGAAAAACACTGAGTGAAAGTCCTTCAGTTCAGAGAAAGAGGTGCTGCAAAGCAGGAGAATCTTTGTCATTTGGAAAAAGGGTACATTTAAGGATTTTCATGACCAATTTTAAATGAAGCATTTACCTTGCTTTTTGGGTTGACTTGCAAAAAGAAAAGGGAACATCTCGGGGACTCACTTGCTGTGCACAATACCTCCTGGTCCTCAACTGATATCTGAATTAAGTAGGCTAAGCAGATAATTATAATGGCAAGGCCAGGCCTACTGTAAAGGTTAATGCAGTCCAAGTTTACTAATTAGATCAGCTATTGATTTTTCAAAGACATGAATAAAAGGGCATTTTAGAGGCTTAGCTGATGAGGATAGAGACTTAAAATGTTTATTTGAACACTACCCTCTTAATCACTTATGAAATGCAGTACTATTCTTCCATTTACAATGAGCATTTCCTCTTAAACATTTGAACCCAATTTCCCATTCAATTCAATGGGAAAGTGGGTCAAAACTTTGGACTGGTAGTGTGTTTATTAGGGAATTAAAACATCTTATGGGTTTAAAATATTTTATCATCTTTGTACTCCCATATATGCTGTCTAAATGCATTGTTCTTCTGTGTACATGGTAAAATAGTGATTGATAGTTTCCATGTCAGACCTTTTTTAGAGGCTAGAATTCAGGGCAGCTGTGGCTTAGGAGATGGAGCAGGTTGTCTCCTAACCAGAGGGTTGGTAGTTTGATTCCCGGCTTCTCACCTGTCGAAGTGTCCTTGAGCAAGACACTGAACCCCTAGTTGCCCCTGGTGATATCACCGGTGTGTGAATGTGAGTGCTTGTGGGTACGGATGGGTAAATGGGGAAATAGTGTAAAGCATTCCGAGTGCATGTCAATGTGTAGTATGGCACTATACAAGTATAAGACCATAGACCACTTAGAATTCATACAAACCGCTTGAGCTCACTTGATGCTGAGACGCATCCTCTGGGAAGTTATTTTTTTTTTTTTTTTTTTTTTCGTATACACATACGTTATCTATCAACAGGTTTGGATATTTTAAGTATGGATTCTAAAAAAATTAGATTAATGAATAAATTACCTTCATAGAGATGTGAAATCGCACCGCAGTAAAGATGAAGATGGCAGAGAAGCAAGGCAAAAAAAAAAGAGTATATGTGAGTTTTTTTAAACTGGGTAAAAGAGGAACTGGGATCAAGTAAGGTTATGTTGGGAGGCTGTCATTTTTTTTGCTTTAGCAGGAGAGCAGAGAATTTGTAGAGGAGGAGGGGAGATGATGGAACTTAAAAAATATAGGTGTGAGTGTGTTTTTGCATGGATGTGTAGCACTGTTTGTGTAGGATGTCTGTTGTAGTATGCCCTCCAATGTTCAGTTGTGTACTGCTCCCAGACCTCAGACGTGGACTGAACAGAACCACATAGACATAGCAGCACTAGTTAGTTGTGTAACCCTCAGATGATGCCATGCGATTGGTCTTATTTGAGGGTTTTCTTGTATTGTAGCAGTGAAATACCATGTTTTGTAGACCATTGTAGATTCCTACGTCCTGCTGTTTCGTCATCTTATTGTGTTGTATCCATGTTGTTTACACCACCGTATCCAATAACAGTGTGCTGAGCAGATTTCACAGATATGACTCAAGCACATAAATAATAATGAGGTTCATTATACAACCGAGCAATGATTCACTTCACTTTCATTCTGTTTGCTTTGCTCCATGTTTGAGGTTTCTCAAATGGAAATTCTTATATTAAATATTATGCCCTATTCCAAATGATATGCTATTAACAAGGCCAGGTTTCCTTCGATGCAGTAAAAATACTAAATGACAGTTAATTTTAATGTAGTTAGCAGTTGTACATATTATACAATGTAGTGTGTGTGTGCACTGCACTGTGCATCTTTTTACTTTGCACTACATTCACAACTAAGCAGCAGTGACCCATTTTGTAACTGGGAAAATTTTGTTCTTGTTTATACCTCCGTTGCTTTCATCAGACTTACCAAAATTGTTATATTGGAATTGGATGAAAGCTCTGTTTCCCTGATTTGTTGTCCATTATATTGTTCAGAAAATGTCCTCTGACCAGGTTCATGACAGTTTTGACCTTGAACTGATGACAAACCTAAAATGTCCATTCTTGTTGTTTGTGCATCCTCATAGTTTTTATCGAGTCAGTTTGCCTACCTACATTGCATTTACTAAAAGGATAATGGTGATATCTTTCTTTCTCATTATCAACAAATCCCATGCAACCACTAAAATGAACACTTACTGTAACTGAACCAAACAAGTCTGTGTAGATGAAACATGATTCCTCAGTGCCACAGAGCTCCATTGTTATCAAGAACTATTTAAAGCACATAAATGAGCAGTACCATTAAACTGGGTAACATGGTTCTTCATTACAGTGAATATGGGTACTTTAGTTTATTTTACCCCAGTCCAACATACACCGTACTGCTGCTGTTAATACTCACTAGAGAACCAAATATATATAAATCTGCAGCTGGAGATAGTCACCACCAAATGCTCAAGTTACTGCTGTTTGTGCATGTTTGGTAAACGCTAACGTGCCCAACTATTAATAGAATTAGTTGGCCTTAAAATATTTTGACCAGTTTTTAAAGATTTGTCTTCAGTATGAAAGAATGAACTTGGGAGGTAGCGCCACAGACAGTGTATGGAAATGGGGGAGAGAGAGAGAGAGAGAGAGAGAGAGAGAATTTGGACCCAGCTTGCCCTGTTTGGTATTGACGGCTTGCTCTGGTCTACTGTATGTGTTTACAGAAGTGCATCTATTGTCGTAACCGCTGCGCGGGGAAGCGACATGCAGGTGCTTGTATCCAGTGTTCATGTGGCCGGTGTCCCACCTCCTTTCATGTGACCTGTGCCCATGCTGCTGGAGTAATCATGGAGCCTGATGATTGGCCGTATGTTGTGTCAGTCACCTGCCATAGACATCAATCACGGAGTTCGTCAGCTGTAAGTTATAGGACTGGTGATTTTTACAGATGTTAAGAAACAAGCTGT